GAGAGGATAGTCTTTTCTAAAAGTGGTGCTAGAAGACTGGATATGCATTTGGGGGAAAAAAATAAACCTCAATCCTTACCTCATTCCATATACAAAAATTAACTCAAAATGTATCATAGACCTAAAAGTAAAAGCTAAAACTACAAGACTTCTAGAAGGGAATTTAGGAAAAATCTTTCATGACCTTGGGGTAAACAAAGAAGTTTTAAGACACCAAAAGCATGAGCCATAAGAAAAGAAATGAAAAAGATTGGACTCTAACACTTAAATTTTCTGCACTTTAAAAGACTCAATTTTAAAAATGAACCAGCAACCCATAGATGGGGAGTAAAAAGTCTTTGAGATACTGTACATATGTTTGACACAAAACAAGAATCTAGCATATATGAAGAACTTCTACAACTCAAGAAGAATAACCCAAAATAACCCAATTTTAAAATGGGCAAAATACTTGAACAGGCATTTTGCAAAAGAAAATTTACAAATGACCAATAGTCACTTGAAAAGATGCTCAACATCACTTGTCATCAAGGAAATACAAATAAAAGCCACAATGAAATGCCACTATATATCTACTAAGACTGACAATGCCAAGTGTTGACAAAGATGTAGAGCAACTAGAATTCTCATACATTGCAAGTAGAAATGCAAAATAGTAAAGTAGTTTTGCAGTTTCACATAAAGTTTAACATACGTTTACCATATATTCAGCAATTCCGCTCCTCGGTATTTACCTAAGAAAAATTAAAACATCTGTTCATGCAAAAACTTGCTCTCGGTCCTGTCCCTAAGGCCTTCAACCAACTGGATCAGGCCCATTCACATTATGGAGTGATTTATTCCCTCGATAAAGTCAACAGGTTGTAGATGTTAATCACATCAGCAAACTACCTTGACAGCAATACCTAGATCAGAATTTGAATAACTGGGTACAATAGCCTAGTCGGGTTGACATAAAACTGACCAGCATGTGCCTGGACAAACAAATTGGGGAAACTGCTCAACAATAAACAAACAAGTGATTGATACAATTACCAATATGGATAAATAAGTTTCAAACACATTTTGCCAAGCAAAAGAAAGCAGACAAAAAGACCCTGTATGATTCTGCTTATATGAAATTCTAGAACAGGCAATACAGTGTCAGAAAGGAGGTTAGCATTTGCCTAATGTGAATTAGACATTCAGGGGAGAAGACTGATGAAAAGGAAAACAAGGAAGTTTGGGTGATGAAAATTATATCTTGACTGTGGTGATGCTACATGGGTGTATACATTTGTCAAAATTCATCAAACTATACACTTAAAATGGGTGCAGTTTTTTGTATATAAATTATTTCTCAATAAAGTTGATTTTTAAAAAAGAAAAAAGCTGATTCCTGCACAGCAGAAGCCCTGGTCAGGGTACCAGAGAGAGATATTCAGTTCCTCCAGCACCATTTTTGGAAATGGAAAGATCATCCTTTCCCTATTGAATTATTTTGGTACCTTTGTCAAAAATTAATAAACCTTAAATTGGACCTTTATCATATACCATACCAAAAAAACTCAAAATGGATTAAAGACTTAAACACAAGACCTGAAATCATAAAATTTCTAGGAAAAACATAGGATAAAAGGTCCTTAATGATCGTGGCAATCATGTTTTGGATATGACCCCAAAAGCACAGGCAACAAAAGCAAAAATAAACAAGTGGGATTACATCGAACTATAAGCTTCTGCATAGCAAAAGAAACACATCAACAAAGTGAAAGGCAACACACAGAATGGGAGAAAATATTTTCAAGACATATATCTGATAAGGGGTTAATATGCAAGATATACAAGGAACTCATACAAATCAATAGTAAAAAACCAAATAACCTGATTAGAAAATGGGCAAAAGACCTGAATAGAGATGTCTCTAAGAAGACATACAAATAGCCGAGTGGAATACAAAAGGGTGCTCAACATCACTAATCATGAGGGAAATGCAAATCAAAACCATTTTCAGATACCGTCTCACTCCAGTTAGGATGGATAACATCCAAAAGACAGAGAATGATAAATGCTGGTGAGGTTGCGGAAAAGAAGGAACCCTCATACACTGTTGGTGGGACTGCAAAATGGTGCAGCCTTTATGGAAAATGGTAGGGAGGTTCCTCAAACAATTACAGATAGATCTACCATATGACCCAGCTATCCCACTGCTGGGAATATACCCACATGAATGGAAATCATCATGCTGAAAGGATACCTGTACTCCCATGTTTATTGCAGCACTATTTACAACAGCCAACAGTTGGAACCAGCCCAAATGTCCATCATCAGATGAGTGGATAAGGAAACTGTGGTATAACTACACAATGGAATACTACTCTGCTATAAAAAGAGTGAAATACTACTGTTTGCAACAACATGGATGGACTTAAAGAAAATTATATTAAGTGAAACAAGTCATGCACAGAAAGGGAAATACCAGATGTTCTCACTCTTTTGTAGGAGCTAAAAATAAATAAATATACAAACAAATAAAGGGGGGAGAAGAAGATACAACAATCACAACAAGTCCTTGAACTTGTTAAGACAAGTGAACAGATATGTAGTTGGGGGAGGAGGGGAGGGGGGAAAGAAGAACAGATAAAGGGACAAAAAAACCAACTACAATGTATATTGAGAAGTTAAAATTTAAAAAATAGAGGAACAATTTTAAAAATTTAAAAATTTAAAAAATAAAAAGAGGGCCGGCCCTGTGGCGCACTCGGGAGAGTGCAGCACTTGGGAGCGCAGCGGCACTCCCGCCACGGGTTCGGATCCTATATAAGGATGGCCAGTGTGCTCACTGGCTGAGCACAGTGCGGGCGACACCACACCAAGGGTTGTGATCCCCTTACCAGTCACAAAAAAATAAATAAATAAAATAAAAATAAAATAAATAAATAAAAAAAACCACAGTGAGATACCATCTTACACCTGTTAGGATGGCTATTATTTTAAAAAGAAGAAGAAAAGAAAGAAAACAAGATAAGTGTTGAGGGTGTGGAGAAAAGTGTACCCTTGTACAATGTTGGTAGGAATGTAAAATGGTGCACCTGCTATCAAAAAATGGTATGGAGGGGCCGGCCCGGTGGCGCACTGGATAGTGCACCGCTTGGGAAGTGCGGCGGCGCTCCCGCCCGAGGGTTCGGATCCCACATACAGACCAGTTCCCGCTCACTGGCTGAGCGAGGCGTGGGAGCAACACCGAGGGTTGCGGTCCCGTTGCCGGTCCCGGTCCGGTGCGGGGGCGACACTGAGGGTTGGCTTGGGAAGCGCGGCGGCGCTCCCACCCGAGGGTTCGGATCCCACATACAGACCAGTTCCCGCTCACTGGCTGAGCGAGGCGTGGGAGCAACACCGAGGGTTGCGGTCCCGTTGCCGGTCCCGGTCCGGTGCGGGGGCGACACTGAGGGTTGCGATCCGTTGCCGGACATGGAAAAAGACAAAAAAAAAAAAAATGGTAGGGAGGTTCCACAAAAAAATAAAAATAGAACTACATATGATACAGTAATCCCACTTCTGGGCATATATCCAAAGAAGTTAAAATCAAAATCTCAAAGAAATATCTGTACTCCCATGTTCATTACAGCATTACTCAGAATAGCCAAGATATGGAAGCAACCTAAGTATCTATTGATGGTTGATTGGATAAAGAAAATGTGTATAAACACGCAATGCATATTATTCACCCTTAAAAAAGGAAATTCTGTCATTTGCAACAAAGTGGATGGACCTGGAGGGCATTATGTTTAATGAAATAAGGCAGACACAAGGACAAATATGCATGATCTCACTTATATGTGGAATCAAACATAGTCAAATTCATAGAAGCAAAGAGTAGAATGGTGACTGACGGGGGCTGGCAGGAGAGGAAGATAGGGGCGTAATGGTGAAAGGGTACATAGTTTCAGTTATGCAAGACAAATCTGGAGAGCTACTATTTGGCATCGTGCCCATAACAAACAATAATGTATTGCATACTTAAAATTTGCTAAGAGGATAGATCTTATATAAAGTGTTCTTACTGTTAAAAAACAACTAAAATATAGGGGCAAGAGGAAACTTTGGGAGGTGATGGATATGTTTATGGCCTTAATGGTGGTGATGGTTTCGGAGGTGTATACTTATCCCCAAACTTATCAAGATGTATACATTAAATATGTACAGCCTTTTACATGTCAATCATGCTTCATAAAGTGCTTTATTTGTGACTCTCAGACAGAGGTGTCTCCTGAGCAGGACAGAGGGGTGTGTCAGCTGAAATCCCTCCTCTTCACTACCTCCGCCCAAACATTAAAGTGCACCGCTTTGCACAGTACTGCAGTTTGTTCAGTGGTTGGCCCTTGGAAAGTCACTTCCTGCGCTCCATAGTGCATTTGGCACTGGCAGCCACCTTGTGCTGCCCCTGCCCAGCTGCAGTTCTTCCCCCTCAGGAGAACTCATCACTCTGGAAACAGGGCTCTCCCTCTCTGCAGACAACAGCCCAGGGTAGAGGACTTTAGGGACAGGGTGAGGAAAGAAAGAAAGGCAATACACAAAAAGGAGCCCTTGATGCAGTAGCCGCCTGCCGACTTGCAGGCATCTCTAAGCCAGCGATGGGGCTCCCTCTCTGCCTGGCTGGCCAGGGAGCGCGGTAGGCCTCAGTAAACCCCCATTCGCCATATCAGTGGCTCTCACAGAATGGTCCAGGATCCGCATCATCGGCCTCACCTGGGAACTTGTTAGAAATGCAAATTCGCTCGGCCCCATGCAGACCTACTCAGCAGGGGAAACCGTGGAGGTGGGGCCCAGCCCTGCTGTTTTAACAAGGCCTCCAGGTGATGGCGTGCACAAGCACAGAGAGGAGGAAAGAACGGAAGAATGGAATGGGAAGAGGAGGGCTGCTGCTTTAAGGCTGATTGGACGCCTCCCCTTCCCATTTCCCCTTCCCAGGCTTCTTAACAGCCTGGCATGGGCAGCTGGCTTGCGGTGGAGCTGGCATGAGGCTGGATTGAGGGGTCTCCGAGAGAGCTGCGCTGCGCTCTGGGGAAGACCCATGGCTTGACTGGCAGCACTTGGACTAGGGACGGTAAGGCTGAGGAGGGTCGAGAGGGGGCAGGACCCATGGGATGAGTGGAACTGGGACCTAACCGGGCCCTTGCTCCGACCCCCCCGTGGAGGTTTCACACCCCCTGGCACTCTCCCCATGGGTGGCGGGAGGGTCCAGTGGGCAGCCAGGGGTCTCACAGCAAGCGTTCGAGCGTGGGCTTGATGGAATCATCATCTGCTCCATAAGTCGGGCTGTTTTGCCTGTCCAGGTGCAGGTCTGGGCTGCTCTGACCGGTGAGGCAGTTGGTACTTGTCCTGCAGGAGTTTATAATGAGCCTTTGACCGTGGTGGGCGCTCTAGGGCCAGAGCTAAGGCCTCGTCGCCTAATGATGCTGGCCGGTCCCCAGCCTCGCTCAGCAGAGGCCGAGTGGGGCTGAGCTCAGAGCAGAAGAGCAGGGGCCACGGCCTCCCCCTGCCTCACCTCAGGTGCCCCTTCTTACCCCAGCGCCTCCGCCAGCGCCATGAACCGCAGCAGCAGCAGCAGCACGGACGAAAAGCCAATGAGGACCGTGCTCTGGGGTGAGTGACCACCCAGGCTCGTTCCCAGAGCAGCCCCGGCCACGCCCCACCACTGTCGCCAGCAAGGGCCGGCTCGAGGGTGCCAATGAGCCCCTCCCCCGGGGGTCAGGGCCACACCGGAGAATGGAGAGCCTCTCCTGAGCCTCCCAGCCCCCACACTCTTCCCCTCTCCCCGCCGCAGGCTGTGAGCTAAATCAGGAGAAGCGGACTTGCACCTTCAAACCCCAGGTGGAAGGGAAGCAGGACTGTAAGCTGTCGCTCAGGACGGTGGGTGTCCCCCCAAGGAGGGAGGATGGATGGAGCAGGTGGGATTCTCTGGTCCCTGCAGGTGACAACAGATTTCCCTCCATCTGCCCTCGGGGTGATGCGGTGTCTCTGTTCTCAACCCCTCTCAGATTTGCTTGGGGGAGAAAGCCAAAGAGGAGATGAACCGCGTGGAGATCCTGCCCCCCGCAACCCCTGAAGACAAGAAGTCGCAGCCGGTGACCATTGCCTCGCTTCAGGCCTCTGTCCTCCCCATGGTGAGCTTTTCCCTGAAGCTGTGGGGAAACTACTGCCTGCTCCAGCCCCACCCTCAGGTCCGACCTCCAGAAGCACTAAGGTTCGCTTTCCATCCCGGCTCACCACCTCCTGGAACTGAGACCTGGGGCGAGTTGAACAATTTCTCTTCAAAAAGTACTTTTTTTGTTTTTGTGTTTTGGTTTTTATGGCAGCTGGCCGGTATGGGGATCCGAAAAAATTACATTTTTAAGCTACTCACTGCTAGTGACAGGAACGCTGATTTGCATCTTGGTTGTGTACCCAGAAATTTTCTTGTTTCTATCAATTTATCATGGGTTTTCTATGCAACTGATCATTGTTTGTGAATAATGGCGGTTTTTGTGTCTTTCTTTCTTTCTTTCTTTCTTTTTCTTTCATCCTTCTGCACTGCTGCAGTGGCTAGGACCTTCAGTATGATATTGGATAAAGGTGATAATGGTTGACACCTTTATTTCCTTCCTGATTATTTTTAAAAGAGTGATCCTAATGTTTCTCCATTAAGTAGGAAGTGTTTGGGGGGAAAAAAAAAACTTTATTCGCTTTAAAATCTTTTTTATTTTTAATCATGAATGGGGGTTAAATTTTATCAAGTCCTTTTCTACTTTTATGATCCTGAGTTCTTCTTTAACCTGTTAATGTGGTAAATTATAGTCATAGAACAATATTTGAACTGCTTTGCATTCCTGGGATAAACAGTACTCAATCAAATTATAAATTCTAGATTTGCTTTGCTAATATATTGAGACTTTTCTTTTAACTTACATGCCAATAATCTCACTTGGGTATGAAGGGATACTAGCCTCAAACTGAGGATGGAGTGTTCCCTCCTATTTCCTGGAACAGAAAATATAGGAGTAAGATTAGCTGTCCTTGAAGGTTTGGGAAACCCTTCTATAAAACTGCCCTAAGATCTATTTTTCTTTCCTATGTATATACACTCCCAGGAGATCTCATCCATTTCCATGGTTTTAAAGACCATCTGCAGATGAAGATTATGATACTTATTTCTATAAACCCAGTCTCTCTCTTGAGCTCCAGGTCTTATATCCAACTTAATGTATTTAATAGATATCCCCACCTTAACATGTCTAAATCCAAATTCCTGCGATTTTTTAAGCATATAATCTTCCCCCTCCAACCTGAATTTTTCCCAGTAAATAGTTGTTCTTCCAACTACTCAGGACAAAAACCTTTCTCCAAACCCGACATCTGATCCACCAGCTAATCCTGTTGGCTCAACCTTTGCAATATACCCAAATCCAGCCACGTCTCGCCATATCCCCTGCTACACCCTGGTCCAGGTAACCATCACCTCTTGCTCAGTTCTATTGTAGGGCTCCCGACTAGTTTACCTACCTTCACCTCTGGTCCGCTTATAGTCTATTCCAGGGGTAGACAAACTACAGAGCTAAATCTGGCCCACTGCCTGCTTTTATAAGTAAAGTTTTATTGGAACACAGCCACACTTATTCATTTATATATCCTCTATGGCAGCTTTCCCTCAGTAACAGCAAAGTTGAGTAGTCTGGATAGAGATCATATGGTTTGCAAGCCTAAAATTACTATCATCTGGCCCTTTACAGAAAATTTCCTCATCTCTGCTCTATTCTATACATAGCTGCCAGAAAGATACATTTATTTTTCAATCTAACCTGTTTTTCTATTTTTAATTGAAACATTGATTATATATATTTGTGGGGTACAGTGTTGAACATTAATACATGTATACAATGCGTGATAAAATCAGGATAATTAGCTGATTCATCATTACAAAACTAATCATTTCTTTGTGATGAGAACATTCAATCTTCTAGCCATTTGATAAGAGGCAGTAAATTAATGTTAATTACAGAAAGATCCTTCTATTTTTATTGGTGGCTGGCTGGTATGGGGATACAAACCCTTAACCTTGGTGTTATAACACTGTGCTCTAACAAACTGAGCCAACCAGCCAGCCCCACAAAGATCCTTGTTTTATTTTATTTTTTATCAAAACATAATTGATTGTACATACTGTGGGGTACAGCGTTGAATATCAATACCTGTGTACAATATATGCTGAAATCAGGATGGTTAATATATTCAACATTACACAATGTAGTCATTTTTTGTGGCCCTTTACCAATTTCTCACTAACACCCCTCCTCATCCCCCATCTCTGGTGGCCTTGGTTCTGTTCTCTCCTTTGGAAAGTTCAATGAGTTATTGTGATTGTGTTTTTATTTTTCAGCTCCCACTTATGCATGAGGACATGCAGTATTTCTCTTTCTGTGCCCAGCTTGTTTCACTTAACATAATTTTCTCTGAGTTCATCTGTGTTGCTGTGAATGGCAGAATTTCATTCTTTTTTATGCAGAGTAGTATTCCATTGTGTATATATACCATATTTTCCTTATCCACTCATCCATTAACATACATTTAGGTTGGTTCCAACTCTTGGCTATTGTGAACAGAACTGCAATGAACGTAGGAGTTTAGGTGTCCCTTTGACATGATTTCCATTCCTTTGGATACACACCCAGCAGTGGCATTGTTGGATCATATGGTGCATCTATCTGTAGTTGTCTAAGGAACCTTCATACTGTTTTCAATAATAGCTGCACTAATTTACAGTCCCACCAACAGTGTAAGAGGTTTCCCCAGAAAGGTTCTTTTAAACCCAAGCCAGATCATGTTGCTTTTCTGCTAGAAATCTTAGGTCAGTGGCTTTCCATTTCACTTAGAATAAGATCCTAGGGCCTTAGCACAGCCTTATAACAACAGGGTCACAGGTTCAGATCTCCTCATCGACCAGCTGCCCAGAAGAAAAATCCAAGAGCCTTACCATAGCTGACCTCAGAGCCCATAATGTGCTGGCCCTCAGCAACCTTTCTCACCTCAACATTTGCTGCTCTCCCCTCCCTAACCCTAATCCAACCATACTGGCTTTCTTGACTGTAACCTAAGCTCCAAACACACCCTTTCCTTGGGGTCTTTGCATTTACCGTTCCCCGTACCCCTGTGTCTATCCATGGCTCACCCTCCACTGCAGTCCACTCTCTCAAATGCCATCTCAAAGAGGTTTCCCTGACCACAAGCAGCCTCCCCTCTTCCTACCCCACCCATAACCACTCTTTCCCCATAGCACCCATCACTGGCACCATGGTTGTGATTTGTGCATTGTCTTTCTCCCCACCCAGAACATAAGTTCCGAGCGAGCAGGGACTTAGGTCTACTCAGATGTTTCTCTTTAAGTCCATTTTCATCAGTTTTATTGAGGTATAACTTATATACAATAAAGTTCACCAGTGTTAAGTATACAACTTGATGTGTTTGAGAAATGTATATAATTATGTGACCACAACCACAATGAATTTCCATCACCCCCCAAGATTTCTTCATGCCTCTTTGCAGTCAGTCCCTTCCACCTACCCCTGTTTCTGGCAACCATTGATCTACTTTTTACCATCGTAGTTTTGCCTAGAATTTCATTTAATGGATTCACACAGTATGTAGTCTCTTATGACAGGTTTTGTCACTTAGCAAAATGCTTTTGATATTTTTCCACGTTGTTGGTAAAACAAAAGTGTTCTCTTTATGTCTGAGTAATATTCTATTCTGTGTATATATCATGATTTGTTGATTCCATCGCCTATTACAGGACATTTAGGTAGTTCCCAGTTTTAGACTACTGTAATAAAGCTGCTATGAACATTTGAGTGTAAGTCTTTGTGTGAATACGTCTTCATTTCTCTTGGGTAAATATCTAGGAGCAGAATTGCTGGATCATATGGTAAGCATACATTAAAGTTTATACAAAACTGCTAAACTGTTTTCTAAATTTCTGTACCATTTTGCATTCCTAACATCAATGTTTGAGAATTCCAGTTGTTTCACATCCTCACCAACACTTGGTACTGTCAGTCTTCTCAATTTTAGCCATTTTAGTAGATATAAAGTGGTATATTATTGTAGTTTATATTTCCTTGATGACTGGTGATGACCACCTTATCTGTTTATTGGCCATTTGTATATCTTCTTTTGCAAAAAGCTGGAATAGATGTTTTGCCCATTTTTAAATTGGGTGGTTATTCTTACTGAGTTGTAGGAGTTCTTTATGTATTTTGGATACAAGTCCTTTATCGAAAGTATGGATTTCAAATATTTTCTCCACATGTGTAGCTTCCCTTTTCATTTCTGTAATAGTTTTTTTTTTAACAGCATAAGTTTTTAATTTTGGTAGTGTTCGACTTAACATTGTTTTCTCTTATGGCTCATTCTTTTGGTGGCCTAACGAATTGTTGCCTGAACTAAGGTCCCGGTTATTTTTTTCTAAGTCATCTTCTACAAGTGTTACTGCTTTTGCTCTTTAAGTCTGTGGCCCATTTAAAAGTAATATTTTCGTATGGTATGAGGTAAGGGTAGAGGTACATTTTTTTTACCTCATTGATATTCAGTGCTCTGGCTTTTTTTTTTGAAAAAGTTATCTTCTTTTTTTTTTTTTTTTTTCCTTTTTTTTTTTGTCTTTTTTCGTGACCAGTAACGGGATCGCAACCCTCAGTGTCGCGCCCGCAGTCTTTTTTCGTGACCAGTAACGGGATCGCAACCCTCAGTGTCGCGCCCGCTCCATTGTCAACCAGTGAGCGGACCGGTCTCTATATGGGATCCAAACCCTCGGCGGGAGCGCCACCGCACTCCCAAGCACCGCACTCTACTGAGTGCGCCACTGGGCTGGCCCGAAAAAAGTTATCTTTTTGCTGTATGATTACTTTGGCATTTTTGGCAAAAATCAATTGACCATATATGTATATATATATTTCTACACTCTGTTCCATTTTGTTTTATGTTACCCTTATGCCAATAACACATCAACTTGATTATTGTAGTTTTATAGTAAGTCTGAAATTAGTGTCTTCCAACTTATTATCTTCCAAATTTAATATTTATCTTTCTACTATTGAGTTGTATGAATTCTTTATATATTCTGTATATTTTCAGATAA